CTGTTCTGTCAGACTTTACATACAGTGAACAAGCAGAACTACTGTCAGACTTTACATACAGTGAACAAGCAGAACTACTGTCAGACTTTACATACAGTGAACAAGCAGAACTACTGTCAGACTTTACATACAGTGAACAAGCAGAACTACTGTCAGACTTTACATACAGTGAACAAGCAGAACTACTGTCAGACTTTACATACAGTGAACAACCAGAACTGTCCTGTCAGACTTTACATACAGTGAACAAGCAGAACTGTTCCATCAGACTTTACATACAGTGAACAAGCAGAACTACTGTCAGACTTTACATACAGTGAACAAGCAGAACTGTTCCATCAGACTTTACATACAGTGAACAAGCAGAACTACTGTCAGACTTTACATACAGTGAACAAGCAGAACTACTGTCAGACTTTACATACAGTGAACAAGCAGAACTGTTCCATCAGACTTTACATACAGCGAACAAGCAGAACTGTTCTGTCAGACTTTACATACAGTGAACAAGCAGAACTGTTCCATCAGACTTTACATACAGCGAACAAGCAGAACTGTTCTGTCAGACTTTACATACAGTGAACAAGCAGAACTACTGTCAGACTTTACATACAGTGAACAAGCAGAACTAGTGGCAGACTTTACATACAGTGAACAAGCAGAACTGTTCTGTCAGACTTTACATACAGCGAACAACCAGAACTGTTCCGTCAGACTTTACATACAGTGAACAAGCAGAACTAGTGGCAGACTTTACATACAGTGAACAAGCAGAACTACTGTCAGACTTTACATACAGTGAACAAGCAGAACTACTGTCAGACTTTACATACAGTGAACAAGCAGAACTACTGTCAGACTTTACATACAGTGAACAAGCAGAACTACTGTCAGACTTTACATACAGCGAACAAGCAGAACTGTTCTGTCAGACTTTACATACAGTGAACAACCAGAACTACTGTCAGACTTTACATACAGTGAACAACCAGAACTACTGTCAGTGAACAAGACTTTACTGTCAGACTTTACATACAGTGAACAAGCAGAACTACTGTCAGACTTTACATACAGTGAACAACCAGAACTACTGTCACTACAGTCACAACCAGACTTTACAGACTTAACAGTGAACAACTTTACAGTGAACAAGCTACTGTCAGACTTTACATACAGCGAACAACCAGAACTACTGTCAGACTTTACATACAGTGAACAACCAGAACTACTGTCAGACTTTACATACAGTGAACAAGCAGAACTACTGTCAGACTTTACATACAGCGAACAAGCAGAACTGTTCTGTCAGACTTTACATACAGTGAACAACCAGAACTACTGTCAGACTTTACATACAGTGAACAAGCAGAACTACTGTCAGACTTTACATACAGCGAACAAGCAGAACTGTTCTGTCAGACTTTACATACAGTGAACAAGCAGAACTACTGTCAGACTTTACATACAGTGAACAAGCAGAACTACTGTCAGACTTTACATACAGTGAACAAGCAGAACTGTTCTGTCAGACTTTACATACAGTGAACAAGCAGAACTACTGTCAGACTTTACATACAGTGAACAAGCAGAACTGTTCTGTCAGACTTTACATACAGTGAACAAGCAGAACTACTGTCAGACTTTACATACAGTGAACAAGCAGAACTACTGTCAGACTTTACATACAGTGAACAAGCAGAACTACTGTCAGACTTTACATACAGTGAACAAGCAGAACTACTGTCAGACTTTACATACAGTGAACAAGCAGAACTACTGTCAGACTTTACATACAGTGAACAACCAGAACTGTCCTGTCAGACTTTACATACAGTGAACAAGCAGAACTGTTCCATCAGACTTTACATACAGTGAACAAGCAGAACTACTGTCAGACTTTACATACAGTGAACAAGCAGAACTGTTCCATCAGACTTTACATACAGTGAACAAGCAGAACTACTGTCAGACTTTACATACAGTGAACAAGCAGAAACTACTGTCAGACTTTACATACAGTGAACAAGCAGAACTAGTTCTGTCAGACTTTACATACAGTGAACAAGCAGAACTGTTCTGTCAGACTTTACATACAGCGAACAACCAGAACTGTTCCGTCAGACTTTACATACAGTGAACAAGCAGAACTAGTGGCAGACTTTACATACAGTGAACAAGCAGAACTACTGTCAGACTTTACATACAGTGAACAAGCAGAACTAGTGGCAGACTTTACATACAGCGAACAACCAGAACTGTTCTGTCAGACTTTACATACAGTGAACAAGCAGAACTGTTCCGTCAGACTTTACATACAGTGAACAAGCAGAACTACTGTCAGACTTTACATACAGTGAACAAGCAGAACTGTTCCATCAGACTTTACATACAGCGAACAAGCAGAACTGTTCCGTCAGACTTTACATACAGTGAACAAGCAGAACTGTTCCGTCAGACTTTACATACAGTGAACAAGCAGAACTGTTCCGTCAGACTTTACATACAGTGAACAACCAGAACTGTTCCGTCAGACTTTACATACAGTGAACAAGCAGAACTAGTGGCAGACTTTACATACAGCGAACAACCAGAACTGTTCTGTCAGACTTTACATACAGCGAACAACCAGAACTGTTCCGTCAGACTTTACATACAGTGAACAACCAGAACTGTTCTGTCAGACTTTACATACAGTGAACAAGCAGAACTGTTCCGTCAGACTTTACATACAGTGAACAAGCAGAACTACTGTCAGACTTTACATACAGTGAACAAGCAGAACTGTTCCGTCAGACTTTAATACAGAACAGAACTACTGTCAGACTTTACATACAGTGAACAAGCAGAACTACTGTCAGACTTTACATACAGTGAACAAGCATAACTACTGTCAGACTTTACATACAGTGAACAAGCAGAACTACTGTCAGACTTTACATACAGTGAACAAGCAGAACTACTGTCAGACTTTACATACAGTGAACAAGCAGAACTGTTCTGTCAGACTTTACATACAGCGAACAAGCAGAACTACTGTCAGACTTTACATACAGCGAACAAGCAGAACTACTGTCAGACTTTACATACAGTGAACAAGCAGAACTGTTCCATCAGACTACATACAGCGAACAAGCAGAACTGTTCCATCAGACTTTACATACAGCGAACAAGCAGAACTACTGTCAGACTTTACATACAGTGAACAAGCAAAACTGTTCTGTCAGACTTTACATACAGCGAACAAGCAGAACTACTGTCAGACTTTACATACAGCGAACAAGCAGAACTACTGTCAGACTTTACATACAGCGAACAAGCAGAACTACTGTCAGACTTTACATACAGTGAACAAGCAGAACTGTTCCATCAGACTTTACATACAGTGAACAAGCAGAACTGTTCCGTCAGACTTTACATACAGTGAACAAGCAGAACTAGTGGCAGACTTTACATACAGTGAACAAGCAGAACTAGTGGCAGACTTTACATACAGTGAACAAGCAGAACTGTTCTGTCAGACTTTACATACAGCGAACAAGCAGAACTACTGTCAGACTTTACATACAGTGAACATGACAAAGGGAAAAAAAGGAGTAGACATCCCGCAGTGTGTGACAAAAGCTGTTCAGTGGAGACCTAGCAAAATGAATGGACAACTCATCATATGAGGAAAGCATTCAGTGGTCATGTCTGCAAGAGAATACTTGAATGTTAAAATGCGGAGGCTACAAACCACCCTTATGGATGTGGAAGGAAGGGAAAGGCACATCTGCCACACAATAAGTAAGTCACATGTTTGGAATGAAAGAGTTCAGAAACTCCATAATAGGTTGGATATATTATATGGCAGCTTTGTAGCACAAATGTACATGATAGGTATTGTTTAATACTCGTAGAATTGCAGGAAAGAAACAAGAGGCATATAATGCACAGAACAATATATCTGTACACAAAAACTAACCTCACTGACCCTATCTTCTTACTGGATTGTTTTAAAGCATGGAAACAAACAGACCCCAAGCCAGTTCATGAAATACTAAGGAGAACTTTATTTACAATGATCTCAAGGAAGGAAAATGTACACAAATATGACCAAGAATAATCCTTATTTTTTTAAAAACTTAAAAAAAATTAGACTTTCAAATAACTAAATGGAACACTAATTTTTTTTTGTTTAAGCATACCATATATGTCAGTCCGTTACAGTTTAAACGAGCTAGGGTGATAGGAAAGCTGGACGGTTTAGTCAGCAACTTGACCTACTAGCATGTGGCGCTCCTGTTGCAGCAGCTCCGATAGTGCCAGACAACCGAAGCTTGCAGGAGCGCTCTGAGAAAGGATAAAACAAAAAGATCAGTTCTGCACTTCAATCTCAAATGGTTTCATGTTCAAGTGTTCCAAACTAAGCAAACAAGATCATTTGTCACAACAAACTTCATTTGGAATACAAGAAACAAGTACCAAAAATAACCTTATTTCTGATTATTGTTTTTCCCAACAAGATAAAAGACCCTAAAACTAAATCATTAGAAAACTTAATTAGACAGCACGGATTGTTTAATCAATCCCGAAAGGCACGTAATACGTGTTTTAAAAAACAAGTCGCAGGAGGTCTAAAGGAGAATTGAAAACAAGACTGGAAAGAAAAAGGCTAACTGACACTGCAAAACTTGTAGACAATAGCAGAGAAAGGCGGCACCATATGAGACAGATGTTAAGTCTAGATACTGTATCTGAAGGGGGAAAGTTGGCAACGTCAGTTCACAAAACATTATTAATTTGCTGATAACAGTAAAAGATCTAAGACAGAACCAAATGAAAGACATCTTACTTGGAGAGACACAAGACATCCAGACTCACTAGCCATGATGTGCTGGTCTAAATAAGACTGCAAAAGTATCAATAAAAACCTGGCAATGAACGGAAAACAAATAATACCAATGATCACATCCATATGGTCTCATATAAAAAGTGTTTTATTGTTTTCAGCCGAGGATTGTTCAGTATGACGTGTAAGAGCGCTCCCTCATCGGTGAATATCTTGGACTCGCCCTGGAGCGCTTGGCACTAGGACTGCGGCTTCGAGAACTACGAGGGTTGTCCTCCTTGACGCGAATGTATGCTACTTCACCCTGCAAATAAAACAAAAAACGGCATTAACAATACACAGAGGTACCCTAGAACACACAAGATCAAATATGATACCACAGGTAGTTTGGTACGTGGGGAGTAGTGTCACGGACACACAATATCAGAAATGATGCCAAAGATCACACATGATGAAGTCGCTTGGCACCTGGGAAGTGGTGTCAATGACGAGCCCTCCAAGAGACTAGGTATACTCCCCCCCCCCCCCCCAATCGTGTGGGTTGTAGGAGGGGACAGGGGCAACAGGTTAGACATACTGCGCCCTAACAAGCATGTCATAGACTAATTAGGCAGGTTTTTGTCAAAATCGGAGAGGCAAGGAACTAACAGTCTGCGTACCAAAAAGCCAGATCTGAAAAATAGTTAGGCACAGAAAACACACTTCCAAAATAAGACTAAAGTCAAGAAACGGTTGAACAACCAGCACGCTCGGCCAGTGAAGGAGGAGCTAGGTATATTTAACCCCAACGTATAGCCTAGAAAGATGGGTATGGGTGTTGGCAAGGGGCACTAAAGTGGCATGTTTAAATCCAGTTTATGAAGCATTTAATTCTGAACAAAATCTGTTTACAAGAACCTAATATCACACGCACACTCCTGATCCCTGGATGTGCAGTCTTCCCAGACCAGACACCTGGATGTGCAGTCTTCCCAGACCAGACCAGACACCTGGATGTGCAGTCTTCCCAAACCTGATACCTGGATGTGCAGTCTTCCCAGACCTGATACATGGATGTGCAGTCTTCCCAGGCCTGATACCTGGATGTGCAGTCTTCCCAGACCTGATACCTGGATGTGCAGTCTTCCCAGACCTGATACCTGGATGTGCAGTCTTCCCAGACCTGATACCTGGATGTGCAGTCTTCCCAGACCTGATACCTGGATGTGCAGTCTTCCCAGACCAGACCAGACACCTGGATGTGCAGTCTTCCCAGACCTGATACCTGGATGTGCAGTCTTCCCAGACCTGATACCTGGATGTGCAGTCTTCCCAGACCTGTTACCTGGATGTGCAGTCTTCCCAGACCTGTTACCTGGATGTGCAGTCTTCCCAGACCTGTTACCTGGATGTGCAGTCTTCCCAGACCAGACACCTGGATGTGCAGTTTTCCCAGACCAGACACCTGGATGTGCAGTCTTCCCAGACCTGTTACCTGGATGTGCAGTCTTCCCAGACCAGACCAGATACCTGGATGTGCAGTCTTCCCAGACCAGACCTGATACCTGGATGTGCAGTCTTCCCAGACCAGACTTGACACCTGGATGTGCAGTCTTCCCAGACCTGACCTGACACCTGGATGTGCAGTCTTCCCAGACCAGACCTGATACCTGGATGTGCAGTCTTCCCAGACCAGACCTGATACCTGGATGTGCAGTCTTCCCAGACCAGACCTGACACCTGGATGTGCAGTCTTCCCAGACCAGACCTGACACCTGGATGTGCAGTCTTCCCAGACCTGTTACCTGGATGTGCAGTCTTCCCAGACCTGTTACCTGGATGTGCAGTCTTCCCAGACCTGTTACCTGGATGTGCAGTCTTCCCAGACCAGACCTGATACCTAGATGTGCAGTTTTCCCAGACTAGACCTGATACCTGGATGTGCAGTTTTCCCAGACCAGTAAAAAAAGCGAGGTCATATATGCACACAGCAGAGACTGAAAAACTACCAAAGTTCAACACCAAACAGAATGCAGAAATATACAAATTCAATCCTGGGAAAAATATAAAATTTAAATGCTTTTCCTAATAAAGACAGATCTGAACTAAAGAACAGGTTTGTGTCAAGTGAAAAGTATATGTGAATGTGTTTATCACTACGAATGTGCTTGTCAAAACATGGAAAACACTAGCAAGTTGAGCAGACAGATCTGACCATGTCTGAATTCTGTTCCACTGCTAGTAACAGAGAAACTCTTCTGGGCAAAACTGACTGAAGTATTACCATTATAAAAGACATAAAAGGACTACAAAGGCAGACCTACAAATAATCAGAGACAAGATGAATTGCAGTGGCACAAGAGCACTCAGAACATGTATAAACACAGTTGGAACTGCCAATATCTTGGCTGACTAGACTGTGTCCAGCTGTTCACTTGTGTTGCTTTTGCTTTGGTGGTGACAGGAAAGCAAGACATTTATTCCAGCATGCCACTGAGTCTTCCAAGCACTGGGTGCAATGAATGGACTGTTAACCATTTATCATAGGGAACTGTCTGAGGTGGTATGCAGCCTTATAGAACGCAAAGTCTGTAGTCACAAACAGGTCTGATCACAAAGAGACTGATACTTCACTGGAGACCATGCTCGATGCTGTTGTTATCGGCCACATTTGTGTTTACTCTGGACAGAACATGCAGTAGTTAGGCAGAGGTACTGCCCAGACTGATCCCCAACTGAAACATCTCTACATTATCAATCAGCAATAATATCAGTACTAGAAACAGAAAGTACAAGTGCAAACAATGGAAAGCAACAAACCTCATGGGATCTAAACTTGGTGTCATCAAGCTTACGAACTGCATACTTCATGTCTTCCTTACGAAGGAACTCAACAACACCAGTACCATCTTTAAAGACATCAGCATAGCACACATCTCCAGCTTCTCTCATGTGGTCCTTCAGATCCTGCCAACTTCCACTTGTAGGTAGCCCTGCCATCAGAAACACAAAAAGTCCAATCAATAAACATTGTCAAGATCACACCCACACTTGGCATATGGTTATGGTGCATTCCAAAAGTAACGCCCAGACATTGCCAGTCACAGAGAGGAAATCTCGTGGACCCTAACAGACCAATTGTGGGGTATTTATTTGTAAGGACCTCAAGCTCGCCATCTTGTCTGTGAAAAAAATGCATCTCCAGCAATCATAGAAAAAGAATGCATCCAGAAAAACATTTTCTAACTGTTAGGCCTGTGTCACAAGAAGGCCAGCATGGATAGAAGGAGAGTTTGCATGGGAGGTCTGTCAGTGGCTCTGGTGATTATCAGCTTGTACCCCAGATTAGCAGACTGCACATATTCACACCTGTTTGAATTCCACAGACTTTCTTGATCTCTAGTGTAGTTAGATCAAGGCTCCGTGCCTTCTAACTATGGAGACGGATGGGACATGTCTGCAGAATACTTCGTGACCATTCGGTAATGACAACTCTCTGACAGCCGGTGGAACAAGGGGACAGAAATGATCTAAGGCGAAAACTAATCAACTAAGTTTACTCAGGGCCAACTCTGTGAAACTGGGGATGGCCATGGGACAGCAGGGGCCCGAGCCCAACCACAGATGGTGTTTGATACAGTATAACTAGCAATGATCGGCAGGCCACTTGCTAGTCATCTGCAGGCAAGATCTAGCCTGGCTGACTGCCAGTTGATTAGCCATGACCCAAGGAAACCTGCAAAAGAACAGCAGAAAAAGAAATAAGGGAATGTAAAATGACAAAGGATACTGCAGATGCCAGGGAAGTGCCTTGTGGATAACTGCCAACTTTATTATATTAATTATCTTTCTATGCTGGTTGGAGCTCCAGTGTCCGGCCAGTATCAATGCTGATTTAACATTTTGGCCCATTAGAAAACTTAGCTGAACAGTCCTGCCATACGCAGAATAACAGCAACAGCAAAGGAAATCACTTGTAAATGCCTTGTGTGTCAACAGCGACATGAAAAGAATATAGACCTTGTCTTCTCAGATAAGGACAAAGTATTGTAGTTGTTGGACCTGGCGTTTCCAGAACTGACAGCTGATGTTTCATTATCAGACAGATTGTAGATTGTAGGAACAACACCTTGCTGCAAATTCACTGACAAACAGAAGATCTAATGATTTGGTCATCTAGTAGACACAACTACCAACAACAACACTTGCGCTACAATGGGAAAGATCTGAAGTGAAAGCAAGAGGCCACCCTAGGAGAAGATGGACTGTTGACTTCCAAGAGCTGCTACATTAACACACAATGACAACAGCCAAAGTGTATTCCATCCATCAATGAATCGCAAACAGTTCTTCCCCACAACACGTGAAGGCACAAGTGGACAATGATGATAATTACCTGACACTAAGACTCTGTACTGTGTTCTTCTAGATGGGGGGCCACCACCTCTCATGCCACCACCACGGCCGCCACCATCACCACCAAATCCTCCTCTTCCCCTATAACCGCCCCTTGGTGCACCACTGCCCCGTGGGAACTCGACTCGCAGTGTGTAACCATCGTAATTGTACCCGTCTCTCTGTCGGACTGAATCTTCAGCATCTCTGAAAACATAAATGTCCAGTTATTTGTTTGAGGCAAGGAAATGTCTGGAAAAAAAGTCAGCCATGTAAGTATTCCTTATCTCCCCTCCCCCCCCCCCCCCCCCCCCCCCCCCCCCCCCCCCCCCCCACCCACCCCCCCCCCCCCCCCCTTACATGAAGCACAATATACTTATACTGGACTCGGTGACCGTAAAGAGATTTTAATAAGTAAGGTGTCCGTGCTTTTTCATTTTCAAAGAGTTATGTAGTGTTTAAAGCGACAGTGAATATAAATCATTTGTACATTGTTTTTCTTCTGCCTTCTATTCCCCAAAGGGGCATAGGCTTCTAACCAGGTCAGGCAAAGTTGTTCCAGTCTTCACTATTGCATGCAGCTCTCCCCATCTTTCTAGCTTCACTCTCTAGCTCCTTTCTCTGTATCTTGTTTTTTTATATATTTGTTATGCTCCTGTAGGTTCCACAGAAAAGCCTATACTGTTCTCACAGCGTGTTCCATTAAAAGTATTGAATGGGAATAGAACATAAGCTAGCGACTACAGTTTCGACAATTTGCGGTCTTTTTGGCAATTTCCGTTACCATGGAAACCGTTCGAAACTTGTTTCGGAAATGTCAGCCAGGATCCTAATCTCTCATTAAATTTCGCTACGTCCTTTGTTTTTCTGTTACATCAGTTTGATTGAAAATAGCGATAAGTATTCAAAGTTAGCATAGGCTTTAACTGTTACTCATCCTGTTAATGCTAGTTATAATTGAAATCTCCATCCAATTTTACATTTGTGTATAATAAAATTTCTTTTTGAACAGTGGCTAGGTAGATGTACAGTGACATTTTTCAGGCAATCGCTGGCTCAGCCAGTGGCTGTGTCTCATTGTCTGCCATCTTGTCCAATGACAGTCCAATGTAAACAAAGCCAAAACAGAAGTGCACAGTTTGGTTGCGCAGAGAAAACTTCTTGTTTCACAGACGCAAGTTTTAGCAGCTTTTTTTTTACATCTCATCGCATCTCCACAAAAACTTACATAGCTCAGAAATGACATACAAGCATAAATGAGGTACCGTTGGAAAGAGATTTGTTTCAGCTATCCAACTGTGCTGGTTTTATTGGCGTAGAGGGAATTTTGAAAATTGGACTAAAGTATTTACATAAGCAGACTAAACAAATGCTAGAGAGAGAGCACATATGCAGAACTACAAACCCATGGGAATTACTGACTGATGACTGACTCAGCTAATCTTATTATTTGTCTGGCAGCAATAATATGAGGACGAAGTTCGGAGAAGAAACATTTAATTTCCTAAGTGAACATATATAGTTGTGTATGTTAATTTAAACGCTTTATTTTTATATATGAGACTGGCGTTCTGCAAGCAAAGGACATGCTTCATGATGATGATTCAATTCAAACTACAGCGCATTCGACGATGCATAATTCACAATATCCTGCTGAACATCTAATAGAACTAGTTACCTGTTAAAATGACTTAATTTACATTAGATAACAATCGTACAATATATCGTTTCCTGTACATACCTAGGATCTTCAAATTCGACAAAGGCGAATGGAGGGCCTCGTCTGTTTTTCAAGTCAATAAATGAGATTTTTCCGTATTTATAAAACAAATCTTCAATATCTCTTGTTCTTATGTCAGGTGGAAGATTGCCGACATAAATTCTGCTGTCGGGAGCCATTGCTAAACTAGTAACTGTAAAGAGAGAAACCGAAAAATAAAATCGACGCGGATCTCAAACCACTGAAAACCACGCTGTAGTTTGGGCAATCAAGATGTCGCAGATTTCCGTTTGGGTTATTCAGCGACAATGGCGTCGATTGGTTCGTTTAAATTACTGTACACACCAAATAATTACGAAGCCAGATTTCTTATTTATTGGACAGGGTCCTAAAAAAGCATTGTGAGATCTTTTCTAGGGATATTTGTGTGCGTGCGTGTGTATAAAAAAGGTGGGGGGGTGTACACAGTAGAGAACTTGTCATACATTGACAGACAGCGAGCTTTTCTTCTGCTGCTGTTTCTTACCCCCACCTCCCAACCCCCTTTTTAATAGCCCGGTGGATCATAGACCAACTCACTCTAAGTCAACCTATCCCTTGCTATTGCAGGTCTTTTCATGACCGCCTCTCCCCCCCCCCCCCACACACACACGCTCACTTTTTTGGTGCTCAGTATTTATGTCAATGCCCAGTTGTTGTTTTTTTTTTTTTTTTTCAAGTGCAAAGACATTCAAGTTATTTTATTTACATGTTTTCTCACCGTGCATTCTGGTAATCTGGTAATCCTAGTTTCAGCTTCAGAGCAAACAGGTCACCCCATAGTTGCTCACAGTGTCACGCCATGCCCTCAACTCAGAAGCTGGGCGACGAAACTATATCCTTCCAGTCTACAAATGGAGCGAAAAAATGCAACGGCCACCGTCTGGCAGGAAAAAAAGGTGGCCGTGCCATTTTTACCTGAAGCATTATATGAGGGTTAATAAACGGTCACCCCAGCAGTACCCTCATTATTAGCTGGGGAAGGGACTTAGGACATTACATCCACCAGCAGGCGTCGCCCCTACGACGACCTGCCTGCCTTCGTTAACGACTGTTCACCCAACAGCCATGCAGTTCTTTGGCACGAAGGAGACACGTTGAACTTGGGTTTCGGATTGCCGACTCCCTACAAGATGTTATTTTATGCACATTGGGCATATCCATGCGTGATCAGTTCTCCGAAGCAGCAGCCACTCCAAAGTACTTCTACTAATTGGCCCCATTAGAAGCTGGTCATATCGTCTCCTTTCTCGGCCCCGAAGACGGCAAAGACGTGCATCACCATGCTTAACTCCCATGTCACGCAATCGTGTTAGTGTCAGGGATTCCTCATTCTCCACTAGCCCAGTTCGTACAGCGTTGACGATATCTGCATTCTATTCAACGCCAGTAATTTTTCTTCACCTCTTGATTTACTTCCATTTTTTAAGTTCTTCTCCGAAGCTCAACATTATTGATTCCATCATACCATTCAATTCCAAAATTGTATGTACAGGCACCAGTTAATGAATATTTGTAGTTTTTCAATGACTGTTTTCGTTGTTTTCTATGTTTCTGCTCCATACAGTAGCATTAATTTGTCATTAGGAAACTAGATTATTGTTTGCCTGTCTAATTCTCATTGTCTTTGTCGTTCGCTTATGCATCTGTATATATAATTGTTTTGCTCACATCAGGTATGTTCAATTTATCTTGCATCTTTTTCTGTCCACCACCGAAGTCCAGGTCATTAAGTTGTTTTGTAGTGGTCCACTGAATTCCAAGACGAGTAGTTAGCCATCAGTATGCTGCCTCTTCGCTGGTTTTTGAGAAGGGAGACGGGACTATTAGGGCTTATCCTGAATGTTGTGATGTCGGATCTTCACCCAGATAGTAAAGAGCACCCCACCACACCCCCCCCCCCCCAGTCATATCTAATTTTATTCCTGAAGCTGACACCAATGCCTCGGGATCGATTTTCTCATCCTTTTTAAGTGACCTGGGGTCAAGGCCAGAAATCCTGTCTAGGATTGCCATGACAACATCAGTCCTTGCCAAGCAGCAAACATGGATATTCAAAATCATTTCATGCAAAACTAAGATTCGATTGCCCAGAGCACTAGCTAGTAGTACATTTACACATGGCTGTGAAACATGGACCTTCAAGCTGAACTCGAAAGGAAGATAAACATTGGAAATGCGATGTTTAAGAAAAATTCTTGGCATCCCAAATATAGACTACATTACAAACGAAGAGGTTCGCCATATAATTATACAGCACATTGGCAACTATAAACCTCTTTTAACTTCAGCAAAAAATGCAATGGTATGGACATGTAATGAGATCTAACGGCCTCTCAGAAACAAGACTGCAGGGCTCAGAAGAGGGAAAGAGAAGAGGCAGACCAAGAAAGAACTGGATGCAGAACCTGACTGGACAGGCCTTAAGTATGCAACTATGAAGTCCATTGTAACTGACCACCAAATGTGGATATAGCTGATCAAATAGTCAGAAACTGGTGACCCAACGACACGTAGAGTTACGGGTTGATGACGAATTTGATGATGATTTGTATGTCTTTACATTTCAAACGATTATCATTTCAAACGACTATCATTTCAAACGATTATCATTTCAAACGATATTAAATCAATGACTATACATTTTCTGAAAGAGCACCATCACTAATTTCAGCATAGAGTCGCCCGTATGCATATACGAAAACGTACATCTTTGATGTTAATGTATAAAGGGAAATCACCACCCATGCACCTATGGGTGTATCCAAAGTGCAGTAAAGACTATAGAACTCGTAACCCATAACTCTCTTTCTCTCTCTCCCTTCCTCAACCCCCCCCCCCTCTCTCTCTCTCTCTCTCTCTCTCTCTCTCTCTCTCTCTCTCTCTCTCTCTCCAATCCCTTCTCTGTCCCCCCCCCCCGCCCCCACAGTGTATATTTCCAATGTTGCATAAGAATATCTATGTTTATCGTTTTAGTGGCAAATTATTTACACAAAACCGTGTTTCGTTGCAGGTGTGTGATTCTACATAGATCAACCATTTATGTCAAAAATGCCCGAACTTAATCTTCTGGCTGAGAGTTAGCTACGATAAATATCTAATCACATAGAATCGTGAGGGTATCACAGAATCCAGCTTCAGGCCTCAGAAGCGAGATATCCGAGAAAGGTGCTCCAAGTGTCAAGAAGTGACACAGTTCTCAATCAAGGAATGTGCAAAGAAGAATTCCCCTCCATCAAAGTCATCATTGAGATAAAGGATTGCACTGTAGTCTCTCTGGGTAAATGCTGGGTAGCCTTTGGTACAGGAACCATCGGACTGCAGCAAACAGTTGTCTGCGTGCACAGGATGACTCAAGTCCTGCCTGTCGCTGTTATCGCCTACTGCTGTCCGACACACCAGGTGAGTGTAGTCAAAGTAAAGTGGTTTGGTCAGGTTGAAGTAGTTTTCCACCAGAAGTCGAGACTTCTCGCTCAACTCCAGGAAAGCCCGCAGCCCAAATGGTGAGATCGTGTTCTGCTGTGCCAGCTTGGCAGCTCTATAGATAGTGATCCCTTGATACATCTCATGCTCCGTGTGGGGAGATATGAAGGAAGGCTTGGCAATAAAACAGAACAGGTTGCAGTGAAGCCCCAGTGCGGACGTTTGGTTGGCTTCAACGCTGGAGACTTCCACGGTGTGCGGGCAGTCACTCGAGGACAGAGATGTGCCCTAGCCCTGTGGTTCACCCACAACCCCAACTTCAAGGAGCTGGCACATATTCAGGCTCGGAAAACTCTGAAACAGTTGGAGCTGGAGCCGGAGGTGCAACATCATGAAGATCTGTGATTGTCTGTGTCTTAATGGAGCTTTTGTGGAGGTTAATATCTCCTGAGTTAGTCATGCAGAGAGCAAGATTTTCCTGTGAATGGTGCATTTGTTGTTTTTGTTGTACAATTGACATTTTATTCTTCATTTGATTCTTGTTGATCCTTGTTGACTTGGAGGATGCAAATCTAGGTAAAGTAACTAATATGTAAGTCTTGTGTAGCTACAGTTAGTCATATATAACCCATTCTGACTGAATGCAGTAGTGCAGTTAAAAGGACCCTGCTGATATAGGATAAAGAACCTATGGCAAAGCACTAGTAAACTGGTTTAGGTAAAAATCTTGAGATCATGCATTTTTCCTGTGACAACTTAGGGTTGCGAGTCCTGAGCTCTCACTCAGTCACTGAGGAAAAAGATTGGAGCTTTTGAATTGAAATGTTATAGAAACATTCTTAGAATACCATGGATCAGGAAGAGGAAAAACATGGACATTCTGAACGAGTTGAACATCAGGGAGAACTGACTATTTTTGGCCACATCAAGCGTCATTGTGGCTTGGAAAAGACGGTGATGGAAGGTGCAGTTTGTGAAAGGCGAGGCAGGGGTCGACCACTGCAAAGATGGATACAAGACATTGAAGATGCATTGGCATTGAAAGCACATGGGGCCTGGAGAGCTGGCTAGGGAAAGGGATACTTTCAGGCGTGCCGTGAAGAGAGTGATGTTCTATAAAGGACTTATTGATTGATATAGAGAAAAAAAATTTCTTTTTCTGTGTTCATCTGAAGATGTAAATGTGTTGTGCCTTTTTACAGCATGGCCGTGGTATTTGTGATTTTTGGCCGACACATTTGACTTCTACAGGCATTTGTTGACCTGGTTAGTCTTCCTGGAAAAATACAATTAAACAGTTGTGTGCCATCTCCACAATGATTGGCTACAGGGTACCCATTGATGTCTTTGAGAATATCTCAGGGTGACACCCTGACCTCTTCAACAGTGCGACTCTCAAACCTTCATCTTAAAATCCTGAGAATGTGTTTTTAAAAAAAATATTTTTTTTTTCAGTTTTAATACCATCTGCCACGAAAATCTAACCCTAGTATTTGAGGATCATGAAGTTGTTAAACTTGTTCACTAACCTCTGATCCACAACAGTAGGTAATATGTAGCACCTGGAGAAATGAAATATTGCAGCATTGTGTAGCTAAAAGAAGTAGCAGAGTAATGCAGTCTGGTGTAGCTCAACAACAAAAGTGTAAGTTAACGATGATGGCAGGATCGGGCTGTTGCTTCATTTATCATTATGTCATTCATATCTCTGTCTTTCTAGACATTATTTCATAAATACATCTCTTATTTGGGAGCTGCAGCGGTGCAGGGGCTAGTCAGTTTCCTGGCGATCCAAAGGTCTTGGGTTTGATTCTGCACCAAGATAGAAGAATGTTTTGTCTTAATATGTGATATTGAGTTTAGTGAAGTGAGTTAACTGAGTGGTCTGACCAAGTGGTGGGGTGAGTATGACGTGTGATTTCTGTGTTTGTGTGCACTGGATGATGGTTGACATGGTGCTCCAATACAGGTTTAGCTTCATATGTTCGATACGTCACTGGATGCATGGATGAGGAGGAGTTAAATGGTAAAATGGGCTTTTGGGAGAGAACTAACAAGTTCCCATGAATCATGAGGTGGGGGAGGATGTTTTTTTTACACAAAGATCGTCTTAGTATTAATTTTGTGACATTTGTATGTTCATTTTTACTACACATATTTGTAATTTGTACCACAGAAACATGTTCAGTTTTGTTGCAGAAATTTATACCACAGAAATATATTCAGTTTTACTGCAGAAATTTGTACCACAGAAATATATTCAGTTTTACTGCAGAAATTTGTACCACAAAAATATATTCAGTTTTACTGCAGAAATTTTTACCACAGAAATATATTCAGTTTTACTGCAGAAATTTGTACCACAAAAATATATTCAGTTATACTGCAGAAATTTGTACCACAGAAATATATTCAGTTTTACTGCAGAAATTTGTACCACAAAAATATATTCAGTTTTACTGCAGAAATTTGTACCACAGAAATATATTCAGTTTTACTGCAGAAATTTGTACCATAGAAATATATTCAGTTTTACTGCAGAAATTTTTACCATAGAAATATGTACTACAGAAGTATATTCATTTTTACTGCAGAAATTTGTACCACAGAAATATATTCAGTTTTACTGCAGAAATTTGTACCACAAAAATATATTCAGTTTTACTGCAGAAATTTTTACCACAGAAATATATTCAGTTTTACTGCAGAAATTTGTACCACAAAAATATATTCAGTTATACTGCAGAAATTTGTACCACAGAAATATATTCAGTTTTACTGCAGAAATTTGTACCACAAAAATATATTCAGTTGTACTGGAGAAATTTATACCACAGAAATATATTCATTTTTACTGCAGAAATTTGTACCATAGAAATATATTCAGTTTTACTGCAGAAATTTTTACCATAGAAATATGTACTACAGAAGTATATTCATTTTTACTGCAGAAATTTGTACCACAGAAATATATTCAGTTTTACTGCAGAAATTTGTACCAAAGAAATATGTACTACAGAAATATATTCAGTTTTACTGCAGATATTTGTACCTTTTTAAAACATACATTTACAGTTTGACTTGATGTATATAAAATGGTGCTATAATAAATGTTTGATTATGTATCAACAAACAAAAAAAAAAAAAAAAAAAAAAAAAAAAAGTTCTCAATCAAGCGATACGTCTTGACCTTGAAACCCGAGCCTTACAAACTCGAGTGGATCAGTCACGGTTACGATGGTCTGGATATGTATGTGGAATGGGAGAGAATCGGCCACCACAGCAGGCAGGGAGGTCAAGAACCAGGCAACCAGACCACCAGGACGACACAAGGTTCTGCGGGAAGACAACACGGAAGTTCCTGACGGAGGACTCAGATGGAACAAAGCCAAAAAGAAAACTGCTGATAGAGAAGTCTGACGATCTCTCCGGCAAACCTCTACACCGCAAGGTGTTGTGCATAAAGTTTCAAAGCATCTCCATAGATGAAAGTCCATGGCAAACTGAACACCTCCTGTACTACTGACAAAAAAATAACAAATGTATGTGATGTCAGATCTGACTGATGTTATGTTATCACAATAGACGTCACTGTAGATTAGACATTCACATGCAAGAGTAAAGTGTGCTGATCTGAAATATAGTTGTGGTATCTGTACAAACCGATGACACTGACGTTGAGGAAGATCACCGCTGGTTCCACAGGTACAATTTCAGAACAGCGTATCATTATATTTGTGACACCAGCTACAAAGCTGTACATATGCGACACCAAACATAACACAGCTTTAGAGTAAATACATGAACCCTCTCACGCCATTGGTGCATTAGGCATATGGTGCTAGATACATATTTTATAGACAATTCAGCGCGCGACTGGCGATGTGCTGATTATTATGTTGGCCGCATTCATTTCCCGTGATATTTTCTGATACCCATTTCAGGCTGCTAATTACATCAATTATGAAATTATGCCAGCTATCAAAATACGAATCGACGCCGATTCAAACCGTAAAGTAACAGTGTTTTATGCATTGTTTATTATTTTGTGGACTAAAAATGTGTCCCTACTAATATCTTGTAAATTAAGTTTCCATGTTAGCGTTGTCCTCTTTTGGTATCTTCTGGTATTTAGAAAGTGATAGCTGGGATTTTGTAAATAAAATTAGGCTTGATTAGGTTCTTTTTAGTATCCAAAGCTCTATACGTATATTATTTTATACAGTTATGATGTGAACATTATTAGGCTAAAAATATTCAGATATTTAGGAATAATAAATAAATCTCGCCCACTATCGTTTATAATCATGTGGTTGCTATCACATGACCATTTTTGGCGTCAAAATGGCAGCTCTCTGGTATAAATTTGTATAAGCAGTGGGACAAACGTACACAGGGGAGTCATGGCGTATGGGTTCTCTGCAGATTTGGTTCTGCTGCTTGGTGTAGACACCCTGTCATTGGGTCCACAGGACGACCCAAATAGAGGTGTAGTTTTAACAAGTATCACTGATTTGTGGTGAACTCAAACGAAAATGGCATTCACACAAATTTTGGCTGCAGTTCACTCTGATAGTTAGTAGTTCTAGTCATAACATTGTTTTATTAATCTGGCAACCTTCATTGGCGTATTTTATTTGTTTACCAAGTTCAGATCTTCACTGAACTCTTTTCACACCGGCACTTGCGCATCATGGCTGTTATATTTGAAGATTCACTGTGTTGGGCTATACAGTCCCAGGATTGCACTCACCTGCTATCCCGTCTCTGTTTAGTTAGCGAAGAACGGCTGAGTTGATAAACAGCATCGATCGTCGTAGTGCCAGCTTGCAAAATCCAGTCATGTCGCATCAGGATAGATTTGTCTCTAGCCCTGAGGATGCTTCTACAGAGAGTGTCATTAGATTGCAGAAAGTGAATGAGAATTCAGCTGTAGATGCAGAAGATAGTACTGAAGATGTTGCATACAGCGACAAGGAAGCATTTGATTTTGATAATTCTTCAGATGATTCTAATAAAAGAAGAGATAATAAGAATGGTAAACATTCAAAGTCAAAAGTGAAGATAAAAACATTAACAATAGATGGACAGTTGGTTTATTTCTGTAAGATTTGTGATAAAGTTTTTACCAGACGCAAGGACAAACTAAACCATGAACTAGCTCACAGCGGAGAGTCGGTGCTGACCTGCACCGAGTGTGGCAAGGAGTACCTACACGAGTCTAGTCTGGCCTCACACATGAGAACACACGCTGGAGATCCTTTGTTTATGTGTGACCTTTGCCCTAAGATGTTTGCCCAAAGCCATCACCTGAAGACGCACATACTGTCTCACTCGGAACCAACTAATTTTGTTTGCAAGACATGTTACAAAGAATTTCCAACATCTTCTGATCTGAATCACCATAATCGCATTCAATCAAAGCAAGAGATAACAAAATTTTGGTGCAAAATGTGCAAAATCTATTTTTGTAGAATTCATAAGTTGACATGTGAATCACGACTTCATGCATTTTGTTGCTCTGCATGCAGTGAGTTGTTTCATACACATAAAAAATTGAAAATACATATGAAGAAATTTGCACATTACTCGTTAGATAAGCCAAAGTATATTGAGCCTCTTCAAGAACATGAACTGTACCCAGATAAAGTTCAGGAGAATCTAAAAAAACTGCAGTCTCAGAAAGAAAATGATCTCATGCGTAAACCAATTAAGAATGATGTCAACGGAAAGCGACTGAGTGATAGTTATTCAGATATTCCATTTAAAAGGTTCAAGTTGTCAGTTCGGAAACTAATCATAGATGGAGATCAGTCAAGTACATCCGTGCAAGATTCGGCACCGGAAGCTTCTAAAGAGGTGGAAATTGAACTTAAGTCACCTCCAAGACACAGGAAGGTGTGTATATCTTTTCTTATTCCTTTTCCTTCTCAACATCATACTTCCTCTTCTTTTTTTTTCTCCTCCTCCACTGCTCTGCTGTTGCTTCTTACTTCTGCATTTTCTGTTATCTTTGTATTAATGATAGAAATTGTACTTATCAATTCAGTATTACGGATATGCAGTATTTTATAAAAATTGTTTATTAATTGCCTATTCTCTACCCTTTACCTCTGTAACCTTTGGCAGGTCTGCAATGTTTGTCGACATAATGTTGGTGCCACAGATTTATATGTCATACACCTAGCATCTGGTTATACATGTAAGGGTATTGTAGGGGCAATGATAACATTGAAGATGTCATACACCGAGCATCTGGTTATACATGTAAGGGTATTGTAGGGGCAATGATAACATTGAAGATGTGTGACAGAATTTAGGAATATATTCAGTCAATCAGTTTCTGTCTCCCCAGTAAAGGTTGGCTGCTATGGATCTTCAGCACAGTCTGTCTGTTGACTTGGTTGTACCCCCACTCAGACAGCTGTCTGTCCATCTCTTAATTTTGTCCACCCACTTGTATCGTGGTCTACTTCTTGCTTTCTTGCCTTTGACCTTTCCCTCCAGCATGAGAAGTATATTAGGGCAAGCAAAATATTGAAGATCATCTTTGCATAAAGCAACCATTTCCAGAGCACCACAATTGCTTATATCAGCTCAGAACTTGAGCCCTGCCTTGCTTTGTGTGGGTCTGTGGCACTAGCCAGTTAATTACACATACAAAACAAACAAACTCTTTAGCACTTTGTAATGGTTATGGTCAACATCTCATAAGTCACTTTTATTTCCCATAACATTTCCTGGTACACTTCCTTTCTTGCTTCTACTTTGTGATAAAACGGCTCACTAGGATCAAATGGACAGTGCAGTAAAACAGATGTAGAATCCATACATTAAAAGACTAATTCAGGTGTGTGTGGGAAAGGGGGGGGGGGGGTTGAGTAGAGGTTCTGGACCATATTCAAAACTGAGGGGAAAACTAAGGTGGACTTTTCATCAAATTGTAACTGGCACTATTAGTATGTTGGGAGTCGCCATGGCGTAGCGGCTAGACACTCGCCTGCGAATCGGCAGGTTGTGGGTTCGTTCCCTGGCCGAGCCAGAGTTTTTTCAAAAATGACCTTGGCTCCTAGGTCAACCCAGATGAGTGGGTACCGGATGCAGTCCTTGGAAATAAAGGCAGCCGGCGTGATGCTGACCACAACACCCACCAAGAGCTAACTATTAGGAAAGAGACGGAGTGTGTGTGGGAATGTGTGTGGGAGTGTGTGTGGGAGTGTGTGTGGGAATGTGCTGATTACAGTAATGTCAAATCAGTTATTGTTTTCCAGAAGTCAAAACTCTCATTATGAGAAAATCAGCAACAGATTAGAAAACCAACATTGGTTATAACTATGAAAAAGATTTTCTGAAACACCTGAACAGAACAGACCAAGTCACAGTTTTTTTGCTTACATACTGGACACTGCAGACTCAAAAAACACTCATATAAATAAGGTATAAGCCAGACAGCTCTCTGCCAGTGTCTTCATGCTGACGAGACTCTAGAACATGTCCTGCAAGACTGTCCTTTCTTGGCGGAGCAACATGTGGCCACACCCAGTAGATGTGACAACTAAGCTTTCGGGAAACCTAAGACACCTTGAGAAGACATCCCAGTTTATGGCCCACAGTGGATTATGCGCATGACCAGAGATCTAAGAAGAAGAAGAAGAAATCAATTATTGTGGTGAGGTGATATCGATCACGGGCATGAGAGAAATATAATGCCATTGTGATGTGTATAAGGAGTTACTCCCTACCTCACCTCGGGTAACAGCTAGCTCTGGGATGGTTTTACAGACCCTCACATTCACACCATGTGCCACACATTAAGGCTCACCTTTGTGGCCTGAACCAAGTTGGCAGGGAATCTTGGCGTTGGTGGCATGCAGAGGTGCAGTGTCCAGTCTGGCTCACATCAGCCCATCCCCAGTGTCCAGTCTGGCTCACATCCGCCCATCCCCAATGTCCAGTCTGGCTCACATCAGCCCATCCCCAATGTCCAGTCTGGCTCACATCAGCCCATCCCCAGTGTCCAGTCTGGCTCACATCAGCCCATCCCCAGTGTCCAGTCTGGCTCACATCAGCCCATCCCCAGTGTCCAGTCTGGCTCACATCAGCCCATCCCCAGTGCATATCTGTCAAAGCTGATTTAGAACATGGATAAAGTCTGCTAGCTGAACATAACACTAAATGACAACCCTCAGTTAAAACATCTGTTGAGTAGGAAGAACTATTGTACTGGTGAGATTCAGCCCTATAACCAGAGATTTGCTTGCAGCCTAGACGAGCAATATCTTTTGTGGGTGGATCAGTCCTGTCTCCATAAATCCCTTCCTTTTCTTCAATGTTGACGTGATATTGTTGATGTACACCGTGACAATCTATCACTGCCAGTGAGCTGGTATAGCATAAATGTCCATCTGATACATGTCCTACGGCACAGAAGCAAAGTTCCAAATGTCTGACCCCCAAAAAAGTTCTACTAACTGGCAGAAAGTGTCACATGCCCGTTACACTGTCCCCACTAGCCAGAGTATTGCACCTTAAAGGGGGAGCAAGGCCGGATGCATGCCTTGCCATACTGTCTTGTTAATTTTCCAGATGAACCAATATTGAAGAAAAATGTACCTGTTCAAGTGCCCATCAAAGTCCCAGACCTGCGGACTGCTCCCTTCTGATCTCTAGAGCATGCAGCCAGTGATGATTGGAACACTCAACATATGGGTGTGAGTTTAAGCAGTCATGTGCAGGACATGATGATTCCTTGAGTGAGCCCAGGACCAGAGCGTAATGTATTGGCTCTGCATTTATGGAAACATCCAGGGATGGCAGGGAATGCCCATGGTCTGACCTTGCCTTTCCTTGAGGGCCGACCCAGCTACACACGGATGCCCTGGATTGGGTCTACAAGAGCAACACCGGGTACAAAGAGAACACCACACAAAAAAGGCCACAACATGTCCCTGACTGGGAAGTTAACCCGATCTACAAATGCTCAGTGAAGTCCAATGTGTTGGCTGAAAGGCACAAATATCTCAGCTCTGCTGTAAACAGGCACAGCTCTACTGTAAACAGGCACAACACATTTTCTTCACTCCGAAAAACAAGAAGAAGAAGAAATCAGTTATTGATTAATTAATTTACTAATTTATAATTCCAAGTCCCATTTTAGGCTGAGTTGATCTAGGAATCCAGGCTCATTTTTCTCAGTGACCACAGAAAGCTGTGACCATACCATGAGGCTGCACTAACACAGCTCTGTACCCTCAGCCTAGGACAAGGTCAGATCAGAATCATCATGTAGTAGGTCTTTGCAGAACGTCACTATCATCATGGTCTGGCTGAAAGAAACTGGGTCTCTCACCAGATCTTCCACATCGTAAACTTTCCTACCCAAGGTGTAACTTATATCCTGTGCCTATCTTTGTGCTGGTCATCACTGCCTCTCTTTCCTGGTATCACATCTTCTGCTATAATTTTTTTCCAGGCTGTCGTGGCACTGGATGTGGCCAAAATATTTCATTTTCTGAGACAAGATGCTGTTTACTAGCCAATCTTCCTTGATGCTCAGATCTTTTAAGATGTCAGTATTTCTGTTCTTCCTTGTCCATGGCATTCTGATAATTTGTCTGTAGCATTTCAGCTCAAAAATCCCAATTGTCTACCTTAAGGACTGGGAGACAGTCCACATGTCACATCCATATATTGCTACAGGGAAGTGGGAGACAGTCCACATCTCACATCCATATATTGTTACAGGGAAGTGGGAGACAGTCTACATCTCACATCCATATATTGTTACAGGGAAGTGGGAGACAGTCCACATCTCACATCCATATATTGTTACAGGGAAGTGGGAGACAGTCCACATCTCACATCCATATATTGTTACAGGGAAGTGGGAGACAGTCCACATCTCACATCCATATATTGTTACAGGGAAGTGGGAGACAGTCCACATCTCACATCCATATATTGTTACAGGGAAGTGGGAGACAGTCCACATCTCACATCCATATATTGCTACAGGGAAGTGGGAGACAGTCCACATGTCACATCCATATATTGTTACAGGGAAGTGGGAGACAGTCCACATCTCACATCCATATATTGTTACAGGGAAGTGGGAGACAGTCCACATGTGGGAAGTGGGAGACAGTCCACATCTCACATCCATATATTGCTACAGGGAAGTGGGAGACAGTCCACATGTCACATCCATATATTGTTACAGGGAAGTGGGAGACAGTCCACATGTCACATCCATATATTGCTACAGGGAAGTGGGAGACAGTCCACATCTCACATCCATATATTGCTACAGGGAAGTGGGAGACAGTCCACATGTCACATCCATATATTGCTACAGGGAAGTGGGAGATAGTCCACACTCACATCCATATATTGCTACAGGGAAGTGGGAGACAGTCCACATCTCACATCCATATATTGCTACAGGGAAGTGGGAGACAGTCCACTACTCACATCCATATATTGCTACAGGGAAGTGGGAGACAGTCCACATACTCACATCCATATATTGCTACAGGGAAGTGGGAGACAGTCCACATCTCACATCCATATATTGCTACAGGGAAGATGGGAGACAGTCCACATCTCACATCCATATATTGCTACAGGGAAGATGGGAGATAGTCCACTACTCACATCCATATATTGCTACAGGGAAGTGGGAGATAGTCCACATGTCACATCCATATATTGCTACAGGGAAGTGGGGAGATAGTCCACATGTCACATCCATATATTGCTACAGGGAAGTGGGAGACAGTCTACATGTCACATCCATATATTGCTACAGGGAAGTGGGAGACAGTCTACATGTCACATCCATATATTGCTACAGGGAAGTGGGAGACAGTCTACATCTCACATCCATATATTGCTACAGGGAAGTGGGAGACAGTCTACATACTCACATCCATATATTGCTACAGGGAAGTGGGAGACAGTCCACTACTTACATCCATATATATTGCTACAGGGAAGGGGAGACAGTCTACATGTCACATCCATATATTGTTACAGGGAAGTGGGAGACAGTCTACATGTCACATCCATATATTGCTACAGGGAAGTGGGAGACAGTCCACATGTCACATCCATATATTGTTACAGGGAAGTGGGAGACAGTCTACATGTCACATCCATATATTGCTACAGGGAAGTGGGAGACAGTCCACATCTCACATCCATATATTGTTACAGGGAAGTGGGAGACAGTCTACATGTCACATCCATATATTGCTACAGGGAAGGGGGAGACAGTCTACATGCCACATCCATATATTGCTACAGGGAAGTGGGAGACAGTCTACATGTCACATCCATATATTGCTACAGGGAAGTGGGAGACAGTCTACATCTCACATCCATATATTGCTACAGGGAAGTGGGAGACAGTCTACATGTCACATCCATATATTGTTACAGGGAAGTGGGAGACAGTCTACATGTAACATCCATATATTGCTACAGGGAAGTGGGAGACAGTCCACATGTCACATCCATATATTGCTATAGGGAAGTGGGAGACAGTCCACATGTCACATCCATATATTGCTACAGGGAAGTGGGAGACAGTCCACATGTCACATCCATATATTGCTACAGGGAAGTGGGAGACAGTCCACATGTCACATCCATATATTGCTACAGGGAAGTGGGAGACAGTCCACATGTCACATCCATATATTGCTACAGGGAAGTGGGAGACAGTCCACATGTCACATCCATATATTGCTACAAGGAAGGAAGTGGGAGACAGTCCACATGTCACATCCATATATTGCTACAGGGAAGGAAGTGGGAGACAGTCCACATGTCACATCCATATATTGCTATAGGGAAGTGGGAGACAGTCTACATGTCACATCCATATATTGCTACAGGGAAGTGGGAGACAGTCTACATGTCACATCCATATATTGCTACAGGGAAGTGGGAGACAGTCTACATCTCACATCCATATATTGTTACAGGGAAGTGGGAGACAGTCTACATGTCACATCCATATATTGCTACAGGGAAGTGGGAGACAGTCTACATCTCACATCCATATATTGCTACAGGGAAGTGGGAGACAGTCTACATCTCACATCCATATATTGTTACAGGGAAGTGGGAGACAGTCTACATGTCACATCCATATATTGCTACAGGGAAGTGGGAGACAGTCCACATGTCACATCCATATATTGTTACAGGGAAGTGGGAGACAGTCTACATCTCACATCCATATATTGTTACAGGGAAGTGGGAGACAGTCCACATCTCACATCCATATATTGCTACAGGGAAGTGGGAGACAGTCCACATCTCACATCCATATATTGTTACAGGGAAGTGGGAGACAGTCCACATGTCACATCCATATATTGCTACAGGGAAGTGGGAGACAGTCTACATCTCACATCCATATATTGCTACAGGGAAGTGGGAGACAGTCCACATGTCACATCCATATATTGCTACAGGGAAGTGGGAGACAGTCTACATCTCACATCCATATATTGCTACAGGGAAGTGGGAGACAGTCTACATGTCACATCCATATATTGCTACAGGGAAGTGGGAGACAGTCTACATGTCACATCCATATATTGCTACAGGGAAGTGGGAGACAGTCCACATGTCACATCCATATATTGTTACAGGGAAGTGGGAGACAGTCCACATGTCACATCCCTATATTGCTACAGGGAAGTGGGAGACAGTCCACATGTCACATCCCTATATTGCTACAGGGAAGTGGCAGACAGTCCACATGTCACATCCATATATTGTTACAGGGAAGTGGGAGACAGTCCACATGTCACACTCATATATTGTTACAGGGAAGTGGCAGACAGTCCACATCTCACATCCATATATTGCTACAGGGAAGTGGGAGACAGTCCACATGTCACATCCATATATTGTTACAAGGAAGTGGCAGACAGTCCACATCTCACATCCATATATTGTTACAGGGAAGTGGGAGACAGTCTACATGTCACATCCATATATTGCTACAGGGAAGTGGGAGACAGTCTACATGTCACATCCATATATTGTTACAGGGAAGTGGCAGACAGTCCACATCTCACATCCATATATTGCTACAGGGAAGTGGGAGACAGTCCACATGTCACATCCATATATTGCTACAGGGAAGTGGGAGACAGTCCACATGTCACATCCATATATTGCTACAGGGAAGTGGCAGACAGTCCACATGTCACATCCATATATTGTTTCAGGGAAGTGGGAGACAGTCCACATGTCACATCCATATATTGTTACAGGGAAGTGGGAGACAGTCCACATGTCACATCCATATATTGTTACAGGGAAGTGGGAGACAGTCCACATGTCACATCCATATATTGTTACAGGGAAGTGGGAGACAGTCTACATGTCACATCCATATATTGTTACAGGGAAGTGGCAGACAGTCCACATGTCACATCCATATATTGTTACAGGGAAGTGGCAGACAGTCCACATCTCACATCCATATATTGCTACAGGGAAGTGGGAGACAGTCCACATGTCACATCCATATATTGTTACAGGGAAGTGGCAGACAGTCCACATGTCACATCCATATATTGTTACAGGGAAGTGGCAGACAGTCCACATCTCACATCCATATATTGCTACAGGGAAGTGGGAGACAGTCCACATGTCACATCCATATATTGCTACAGGGAAGTGGCAGACAGTCCACATGTCACATCCATATATTGTTACAGGGAAGTGGGAGACAGTCCACATGTCACATCCATATATTGTTACAGGGAAGTGGGAGACAGTCCACATGTCACATCCATATATTGCTACAGGGAAGTGGGAGACAGTCCACATGTCACATCCATATATTGTTACAGGGAAGTGGCAGACAGTCCACATCTCACATCCATATATTGTTACAGGGAAGTGGGAGACAGTCCACATGTCACATCCATATATTGCTACAGGGAAGTGGGAGACAGTCCACATGTCACATCCATATATTGCTACAGGGAAGTGGGAGACAGTCCACATGTCACATCCATATATTGGTACAGGGAAGTGGCAGACAGTCCACATCTCACATCCATATATTGCTACAGGGAAGTGGGAGACAGTCCGCATGTCACATCCATATATTGCTACAGGGAAGTGGCAGACAGTCCACATGTCACATCCATATATTGTTACAGGGAAGTGGGAGACAGTCCACATGTCACATCCATATATTGTTACAGGGAAGTGGGAGACAGTCCACATGTCACATCCATATATTGCTACAGGGAAGTGGGAGACAGTCCACATGTCACATCCATATATTGTTACAGGGAAGTGGCAGACAGTCCACATGTCACATCCATATATTGCTACAGGGAAGTGGGAGACAGTCCACATGTCACATCCATATATTGTTACAGGGAAGTGGCAGACAGTCCACATGTCACATCCATATATTGCTACAGGGAAGATGAATGCTTTCAGAATTTTAACTTTGATTTCCTTGATGGTACTTAACCATAGAATTTTGATGCTGTTTGATCTTGAAAGATAAGAATGCAGTGTGCATATGGTCACATATTTGGTGTCCAGCATGCTGAGTGGTCATGCCGAGTGTTTAACATTTATATCACTTCTCTAAAGAGGAGTTTCCCCTTAATTTTCTACAGTTTGTCCAATACGTTAGGCAATGTTTTGTAAAAGGCTACATTAGTACCCTCCTTGCAGCGTCCAGGATAACTATGATATTATTGTTTCTTCTGTCCCAGGGAAAACCTTACTGTAAGAAGTGTAACAAGTCTTTCAAGGACTCTGTAGATTTGGATCGCCACAAAGCATTGGTACACGAGGACAGAAAAGATGCATTTAAATGTGAGATCTGCAGCTTGGAGTTTGCTTCCAGTGATGACCTCGACAGACATGGCTTTAAACACAGCAGGGAGCGCATGCATACCTGTCCCGTGTGTGGGCAGGAGTTCCCAGACTCCTCCCAGCTGACTTTGCATCTCCGAATACATGTTGGTGATTTCCCTTACAAGTGCAGCCAGTGTGGGAAATCTTTCAGGCTGAAGGTAAAAACCATGGTTTATTTTCTGTTGTCCCAGAAGTCAGGTAACAATTAAAAACAAAAATAGGAATGGTCAGATATATTTTCAACAATGTCAGAAAAATGTTATTATTTAACATACAAAAACAATGCATTGAAACTTGCAATCACCAGCTGGAATGAGGACTGTCAGAGAGCTGCACCTGGAGGTGGGAGATTTCTGCAGCAATCAATCTCAAAGTCTCGGGGTACTGAAGAATAATAACGCATGGAAATGAGAACTGATAAATCATCAAATGTTGTAATATAAACGCAATCGGGCTATATGTTGCAGAAACCAGAACAAGGAACAAGCATTAGAAATGGAATTGTGACACTGGAAAAGTGACTGAACAGAAGAATCTGTCATATTTGATGGAAGCACAAATAATCAGATGCAGGTCGAGACACTAGGAATGAAAGTCGTTGAAAAAAATGTTGTAAGTGGTAATTACAATATTTAACAACATTACAAGACGTACTATTTCACTGAAGTTCCGAATTTTTTGTGCAACTTATCAATAAAAGCCTCAGCTGAAAACATTCAGTTATTCCTCTCCCCCTTGTTAAGCTTACCAGTCATTTTCTTGTTCAGTGAATTCATTTAGTTTTACTGTCTTGTGTGTTTCCATATTAGTCTTAGTAAACCACTGCAGAACTAGCACAGTTTTTATCTTTGCAGATTCAGCTAATTCAGCATGTTCGTTTACATATTGCTCAAGACGCAAACGGTGCGGACAAGGGCGGGGAAAGTGCCGATGTTGGAGATGAGCAGCAGGATCATTCTCAGGGAGAAGTTGAGAATTTTAAGGTATGTTGTTGTTGTTCGTCCATCACGAGTGATGAAGACCACTTTTCATCAAAAGTAACAATGATCAATGATTATGAGTACGAAGGTGGCGGATTAGTCCAATATGAGCCTGGAAAGTTCTTGAGCAGTGCGGACAACAGGTGGGAGCTGCAGTAAGTGTGGGATTAGTGATACAGTTCTTTCTAGTCTGCCTCCGTTTCTCTGCCTGTGCAACCTCTTCTGCCTGGCAGGCCGATGCACCATATCTGAGGGATGTACATCTGAGCCTGGAAAGTTCTTGAGCAGTGCGGACAACAGGTGGCAGCCCCAGTAAGTGTGGGATTAGCAGTACGATTCTTTCTAATCTGCCTGTGCAACCTCCGCTGCCTGGCAGGCCGATGCACCGTGCCTGAGGGATGTACATCATCCAGAACGGTCCTGTGAAGCAGCCTCCCACGTCGCTGTGTTGATGCCAAAAGAATTGAGAGCAGTTTTGAGAGTCCTTCTAGCGCTTTTCCTTTCCTACCTGGGACCTCTTCCCTTCCTGAAGCTCGCCACACAATACTCTTTGGGAGGCAAAAGTCTGCCATGCGGACTAGGTGACCAGCCCTACGCAGCTGATAATTCTTCAGTATCGAATGGATGCTAGGCAGGTCTGCCCTATCAAGAACCACATTGTTTGGGATCCTATCTTGCCATTTGACTTTGAGCAGCTTTTTAAGACAAGTTACATGAAACTGATTCAAATTTTTAGCATGGATCTAATGCACAGTCCACGTTTTGCAAAGGTATAGTAGTACTGGAAGAATTACAGCTCTGTAAACCTTTAGCTTGGTCAGAAGGGAGATACACTTCTATTTCAGATGCTGGTATAAAGTCTGTCAAAACTGCTGTTGGCCTTTGAGATTCTAGCATTGATCTCATTGTCGATATTGACTCTCTGAGATAGGGTACTCCCAAGATAAATGAATCTATTGACTACATTTATATTTTGTTCATTTACGGTGATAGTGGGATCACAGTAATCTTTTATGGGGTGAGCTGGCTGATAGATAACAAGTTTTATCAGTGTTGACAGTTAGCCCGAAGTTGATACAGGCTTCAGAAAATCTGTTGATGATGTCCTGTTTACTGGCCTCAGAACTGGAATTTAGAGCTCAGTCGTCAGCAAATAAAAGATCCCTAATTGTAGTTGTTATAGTTTTTGCTTTAGCTTGAAACCTCCTCAAATTAAACAAGCTTCCATCCGTACGGTAATTTAAAGCAATTCCTAAATCGTCATCATCAAAGGCATTGATAAGCATTGCAGCAAATTTCCTACCGAACAAGGTTGGTGCAAACACACACCCCTGCTTTACGCTGTTTGAGACAGGGGAAGCGTCAGACAGTGTCCCCTTCTCCAGCACTATGGCCTGCATACCTTCATGGAACTGCTGTACGGTCATGATAAACTTCTCAGGACAGCCAAATTTAGTCATGATTTTCTGCATACCTTCTCTACTGACTATCAAAGGCCTTGATAATTGGATGAAAGTGACTTGGGCAAGAGCTTGGATTTAAGTGAGGAAGACTTGCACAATTCGTCGACCTCTCTCTCTCGCCTGTGTCCATCTTGATCCAATGGCAGGACAGTGTCAAGATGACTGGAAATTGACCTAGATGCAGTGGATGACCTACGTGCCTTACATGCCCTGCCTTACTCGAAGCTCTCCACAGAGCCTGCTGGTAATTACCTTCTAGTCTGTTGAATCATAAGAGATTTTATCCGCACAATCCGCTGAGTCTAGTCTGTGCATGCAGGGTGGGCATATAATGTATGTTATTTTTAACAGTTAAGGCTACTAGACTGTTGATCGTTGGGACATATAGAGAGAATGGCAGGTAACAGAGAGGCACACGCCGCATGTCAGCTTTTCTAGTACTCATTTATTTAGCTTGTATGCAAATCACAAAATCTCTTGTCCGCACAATTTTTCTATTGTACTTGGAGTAAGGTGACACATTGACTAGAGGTTTGCCTGTCAGCCCGATAGTCAAGGTTTAAACCCTTATCGAGGCAGGCTCTGTCAAAATGAAGCTGGTTCCCAGGAAAACATAGCATCCTGTAACGCAGAATAATTAGGAAAGAGTCCAGATGTGAGTTGACAGTGAGTTCCCCTTAGCTGGGTTGAGGAGGTCAACTTTGCAAACTGCATTCTTCTTCTTGTAGTTAGCGTACTCTGGTTGTAAACTCCTGTGGAAAGTCCTGGTTGTTTGTCCACGTCTGGCCTTTGACCTTGTTCCAGGACTTAAGTGTTGTGTGCACATCTGTTTTAAAGATATGACTTAATTGTTTCAGACTGTTGGTTTCCTGCGTCTCAGGTAAATGAAGTCTGACTTTGAAGTCAGCACTCCTGATTTTACTTCTTTTTTTTTTTTTTTCTGAACGTTCTCTAGTGGAAAGTTCTGGTCATTCATCAACTTTGCGACTTTGTTTTTGTTCCAGAATTTGAGTCTTGCATGCACAGCTGTTTTACACATGATTTTACACATAGGGAAGTAGATTTTTATTACATGCTTGGGGTGTGGGGGCCATTGGTGGATCTGTTCTTTTCACCCCAAAATGGGGCCCTGGAACCCACATATTTTCATAAACCTCTCGGCACTAATAGGTTATATGGTCCATAGGTTATATGGTCAATAGGTAATGTGGTCAATAGGTTATATGGTCAATAGGTTATGTGGTCAATAGGTTATATGGTCAATAGGTTATATGGTCAATAGTTTATATGGTCACTAGGTTATGTGGTCAATAGGTTATGTGGTCAATAGGTTGTATGGTCAATAGGTTATGTGTTCAATAGGTTATGTGGTCAATAGTTTATATGGTCACTAGGTTATGTGGTCAATAGGTTTTATGGTCAGTAGGCTATATGGTCAATAGGTTATATGGTCAATAGGTTATGTGGTCAGTAGGTTATGTGGTCAATAGGTTATGTGGTCAATAGGTTATGTGGTCAATAGGTTATGTGGTCAATAGGTTATATTGTCAATAGGTTATGTGGTCAAAAGGTTATATGGGCAATAGGATATGTGGTCAGTAGGTTATATGGTCAATAGGTTATGTGGTCAATAGGTTATGTGGTCAATAGGTTATGTGGTCAATAGGTTATATGGTCAATAGGTTATGTGGTCAATAGGTTATGTGGTCAATAGGTTATGTGGTCAATAGGTTATATGGTCAATAGTTTATATGGTCAATAGGTTATATGGTCAATAGTTTATATGGTCAATAGGTTATGTAGTCAATAGGTTATGTGGTCAATAGGTTATGTGGTCAATAGGTTATGTGGTCAATAGGTTATATGGTCAATAGGTTATATGGTCAATAGGATATGTGGTCAATAGGTTATATTGTCAATAGTTTATATGGTCACTAGGTTATGTGGTCAATAGGTTATGTGGTCAATAGGTTATATTGTCAATAGGTTATGTTGTCAATAGGTTATGTTGTCAATAGGTTATTTGGTCAATAGGATATGTGGTCAGTAGGTTATATGGTTAATATCTCATTAAAAAAAACACACCAGTGTATTATTTTTTAAGCTGTTGAAAACAAATTAACATTTTTGTTATGCAGTAAACAAATTGTTAGTTCATTAAAAAAAAATTTGTGCATTTTTTTTCAGTGCCATCTTTGCAGCAGGTCATTTATGTACCGGTACAAACTGCTGGACCATATGAAGCTACATGCCAATGTCAAGTGTTTTCAGTGCTACATCTGCCGGAAGATGTTATCGACAAAATGCAATCTGCAACGTCATCTACAGACACACATAAAACAGGGAATGGATGTTGATGTGCATAATATTATAATTGACGGGGATTCAAAATCACAGTTAGACAGCGTGAGCGAACAACTTATACGAGCCAACTTTCAGTTGACGGAACATATTCAGAATCATCAAGGCATTGAAGGTGTCGAAAAAGAGGATCTGAAACAGCCATTTTTTGGTATTCAGAGATCTGTTTCAAATTTTGAATTAGAAAGTAGATTTAAAGATCACAGCAACTTTAATGTAAATAATATTGAAGTTCAAGGCCACAGTCTCGGCATCAGACTTGCGGACATCAAAGCTGACATAGAAGATGACATGGACAGTTTGTCCGAACATAGTTTCAGCTCGTCTTTCACTAGAGATTCTGAGCGAAGCGACCCATTTAAATTTTCTTCTGATGAATCTGACACTTTTAAAACCATAATGGCCAAAGAACGCATTCGATTAAGACGAAGGTTGAGGAAAAATCGGGAGTTTTTCGTACATTCGGGTCTGCAAGATTTATCCGAACTGAAGAAGAATGATGATCTAAATTCTGTTGTTGCTGCAGAAGGAGGAGGAGATCAGGAGGATGATGTCACTAATATGATGGTTGAACTAAACACAGTCACCTCAGAGCTTGATGATGTTACAACTGTGTTTGTTAACTTAACTGACAAGAAAATGATCACTTGTGAGAAAACTATTTCCTCCAGAATAACAGAAACATTGTTGATTACTGGTAGCTCTTCTGTGCCGAAGATTGAATTTTGTGTGAAGAAGGAGATTCATCAAGATTATGCAAATCATGAGCTAGGAGCTTCAGAAAATGATGTTAAAGACATAGTTAACACACATGAAATTGGGAAGGAAGCCACAAGTGGGAAAATGCTGATGTTTGAATTTGATGCAGAACAATTTTTGGACAGTCACATTAATTGTCATGAAGAAAGAACTGGAGTTACTTCTGCTAAGCATATAGATGAACATTTTCAAACTGAAGAGGAAATAAAAGTTACTGCCAGTAAACCAGGTCAAGCTCAACAAGGGGAAAGTAGTCTGTCTTCATCAGAAGATTTGCAGCTGCCAGGTCAAAGGTCACACTTGAGGTTTATAGTAGATGATAGCAGCCTGACATCAGAATCTTCAAACTTGGAAAAATTGCAGGCGGTTTTTGAGCATTCTTCCAAATATCTTCCTTCGCCACTTTCTAGCAGAAAGATTCCTGCACAGTGTCAGCAAGATGAAACCCACATGAGCACAAAAGATGAGTCAACATTAAATAATTTAATAAATTCTCATGGCCTGAATTCATGTAACTCACATTCACAAGAAAAGCAACAAACATTCATTGTTGAAGACTCTTTTGATAGAAAAATTACAATGTTACCACTGCAGATATCACAGAACAGCCCTCTCGTTGACCAAACAACTCCGCAAGTCACAGCACAGGACATGAAGTCAAATCTTGGCCTCAAAGCAGAAATTGTTCATGAAGCTAAATCTCTAGAAAAATCAGAATGCAGCTTGGCAAGTGCGGAGACGAGTAGAAATGAACTTAGAAGCAAGAATTCTGCCAAGATTACAAAAGAAAATAATTTCAGTAGCTATACTCACCGAAATGCTGGAGAAAATGTAACTGTTCTAAAACATGCTTCAGACATTAATGATCATAGTATATCCACTTTGATGACACCGCAGCCATTCAGTGTAGCAAGTATCATTAAAGAGACACCGCACTCATTGAGTTTCAGCACGTCTTCAGGCACAGATTCTCATTCAAATTATAATATTTCAGATCTCATATCACAACCTTCAAGTCACACCATTTCGAATTTCACATCACAGGCAACTAGTCACAACAGTGCCGATCTCTTAGCAGAGTCTCAAAAACCTGCAATTTCCAACAACAGGGTCAAGTTTACAGGTCAAGGCAATTCCAGTTTTATGGTGCAGTCGTCGTATCTCAGCAGTTTGAATCTCACAAATCAGACTTCAGATAACACTGGTTCTAATCTCATGGTACAATCAGTCCATGCTGGTTCCAATGGCACAACAGAACCTTCCAGTAATGGCAACTTTGTGCTTATTTCACAGTCTACAGGTTGTACCAGTTCACCATCTATGGTACAGTCAGCTATTTCAAGCTCCATATCTTTGGTACAGTCAGGCCATCCAAGTTTCACATCTGTGGTTCAGTCGGTTCATCCATGTTCCACATCTCTAGTGCAGTCAAGTCATACTATATCCACTCCTGGGATACTGACTTCCTCACCTTTGGTGCATCCAGGTTTCTCACCTGTGGTACGACCTGGCTCCACACATATCATACAGCAAGACCCCATACAGCCAGGACACATGAACTCTGCTTCATTCACACAAACCTCAAACGACACCACTCCCAAACTCTCTGCCCATCATTCAAGTCATCCTACCTACACTGTAAATACACAACATGGAAATCATATTTCAAGTGTCCCTGCCCAAATGTCAAGAAGCAAAAAGTCAAAAGCCCGTGCCCACATTTCAAGTCACAGAACCGTTATCACATCACAGAGTTCAACACATCAGAGTTCCAGTCTCACTCCCCACCAACAAACAAGTCACAGTAATTTCAATCTGACTACTCCACTCCCTGCTTCGCTGGCCAGTCACATGTACTGTAATTCAATTATTGGAACTTCAAGTTCTGAAGCAGGTTATCTTCAGCCAAGTTTTAATCTCACTTCATCGTCGGACACAAGCATGAAGCTCAACCCTGCATTGGGTTCCATCAGCACAAGTTCAGATAACTCAACTGTTAGTTACGGCTATTTGACAAACCAGAATAATCCACCAAGTCTTCTTGGTGGCTGCTTCATCTCAGCACATCCCCTAATAAATCCCCAGTATGCCATAGGACTAAACACACATGTAAATCCAAGTCTGTCACTAGCAGGGAATTCCGATTTCTCTTTAAATCCATCCACAATCTTTGATGCCAGTAATCCAGTGTATCGGGACATGAATATGATGGATCTGATTTGCACCTCTTCGACAGACTGTTCTCAAGCAGTTGCAGGTTCCAATATAGGATTTGTCAGTCAGGGCTGCTTGGAAGCCCAAATGAGAAATGATATTGCAACACCTTTTGGGATACACAGTGGTTTCTTGCAGTCACAGAATCAGTTTTTCAATATAGGAAATCCAACTATAGCCGCAAGCTTTGGAATCTCAGGAAATCCAGCCAATAGTTTGTTTCCTCAACAAATTATTCCAGTCCCAGTAGGATTTGGGCAGTTAGACAACCAGATGTTTACAACAGGACTTGTAGCTGGAGATGGCACATTATTGAACTCTGGGAATGTTTACGGTACTTTACCCAGGGATGTCTATCTGAACAGCAGTAATGTTCCTGTTCCACATTTTGCTATGCAGTTAGGTCAAGCAGGTGGTTTAGTTCCTCTGGATTTTGCTAACATGCTTCCTCAGAACACGAGTGGTTTCCCTGACATGAATTCTTTCAGATCTGGCAGCATTAGAGGCTCTCTTTCCATGAACATTGCAGATCAAGCAGGATCTTCTTTTATCAACACGGGAAATCAAAGTCTTAATCAAGCAAGTTTTAGCAGTGACTTCCCTTTAAGCATTTCAGCCAATCCCCAGTTGATAAATAACCTTAGCAGTATGGGTATTTTCCCAAATTCTGGTTTACAGAGCAACCTAAGCAATCTCATTGCACCTTCTAATTTTAATTTCCTAAATGCTGCAATGATTCCACAAAACCCAGGACAGTTACCTGGCTCGTCAGCAGCTTTTGTTACAGATTTTAGTACAGGTTTCTTTCCAAAATTCTAGTTTTATTAGTCAGAAGCTTTCTTCTTCTTCTTCTTCTTCTTCTTCTTCTCTTTCACCAGCTGTAAACTCTAGTGAAAAGTTCTGGTTATTCATCGACTTTTGGACTGCAGTCCTGTTCCAGAACCTGAGTGTTGTGTGTGCATCCAGCAGACCTGACTCATTTGAATGTGACTGCCATCTATAAAACACCCCAAAGCCCTAAATTAGGAAGTAAATGTTTTAAACACATTCTGTTTATAAGATAACCCCCAGTTTTAAACTTTAATCTTGAATGATAACAAGAAAGACGAGTGGACTGTAAAATACTTTGCTGTGATTATGCCTTTCGGCCGACATATCCATCAACTTTATTGAGCATTTGTTGACCAGGTTAACTTACCGGATACTGGTTCTTTGAGTCACTGGTTGTAAGTCTTCCACTCAGCAATCCCGTGGGAGGGGGGGGGGGGGGGGATTTAACCCAAGAAAAACATTCTTGTTAGTTACTATGTGTCTTAGAAAGCAAGGATTGAGAGTATGCATTCTCAAGTATCAGCTGCATTCAGTAAATCTATAATTGTACAAGGTCCGACAATTAAATAATGAGACTATTCCATAAAAATTAAAATAGTCAACAGTTGAAGATCTAACCTGTATTTTATTCAAAGTAAGCCTCTTGTGCATTAATACAGCAAGTGGCACGATCTAACAAAAACTGGTACGACTTCTGTAGTTCTTCTGTTGTTATGACCCTTAATGTCGATGTTACGGCCCTTTGGGTCTCATCAAAAATCGTTCAATTTTGGCAATAGAAAATAATCACAGGGAGACTATCCTGGGAAATAGGGTGGAAGGCTGGAAACACACACTTGTTTTGGGCCAAAAATTCTTGTTTTGATGATGTCTCTTGGGTACTCAACCCGCTGATGTTTTTGGTCATCAAACAACGAATGTGGTACAAACCGGCAAGCAACCTTTTTTTGCCAAAATCTTAAACTAAAATTTTATGAATGGTCTCTCTGTTATCACCAGATTCATTTGTCATCATCTTAACAGTAAAACAATTATCTTTTTGTATCCGTTCTCTGACTTTTGCAATGAGTTCATCATTACGAACAGAAATTTGGCATCCAGGTCTAGGTGCATAAGTAATCATTTCTACACCATTTTTGAATCGTGAATACCACCTGAAAATTTGTGCAAAATATAAACAATTATCCCCATAAACTTGTTGAATGAATTCAACTGTTTCAATGGCACTTTTTCTGAGTTTTAAAAAGAATTTAACGTTAGCTTTTTGCTCCGTGCTGATAACGTAACAATGCATCTCTGACTAGGTCAACAAAATGGCCGCTTGTCTGCTTATCGAGCTGTGATGAAAAGTTGCCAGATCATAGGTGAATGTTGTCTCTTTAGATTCCATGCTTTGCCTTATATATTTCACTTTTGTCTTGGCCATAATAAAATCAGTCTCATTACTTAATTGTCGGACTTTGTGTGTGTGATGTACAGAAGTGAATCATGGGCAGTTAGCTGATTGTTGAGAAATTATTTTGAAGCTTTTGAGGTTTGGTTTTTTAGAAAAAAAATAATGACATTGCGTGAACAGATTTAAAAAATAGCATATTGAAATGTCTCAAAAGAAGTTAACGCACAGAAAGAGTTGTTACTTTGTTAATCATTTATCAGAAGATGGAAGACGACAGAACTGCATTATGTGGGCACCTCATGAGAAGAGGAAAATTAAATAACGCTGTGACACCCGGAAAGTTGAAAGGGAGCTAAGGCAGTAGAGACCATGAAAGTAGAAGAAGATGATAGATGGTTTTGCATCACAGCTTGAAGTTTAGTTGAGTGTCAAAATATTTAAATATTTCTCTATTGGTATTATTGGCTTTACATGAGACAGGATCCTGGGGAGAGTTATCGCCACAAACTCCATATAAAAAGTCAAGGTTGTAAAGAAAAAAAAAAGAATATCAATTTTGATCACTCTTATGCTCTTAATCTTAATTTTGTTGTTGATGACCTCAGATTCAACTGTAGAAAGAGCTCGTTTACATAGAAGAAATAATAAGACACTCTTTGACTAACCACTGAGTCAAATGATAGAGGCCTGTAACTGAACATTACTTCAGCGAAAGGAAGTGTTTTTTGTTGTTGTTAGATGGTCATGTTTTAAATTTATTGTTAATTTTTGTTTTTGTTTCATTTTACTAGCAATATATTTTTTTAACTTTTTTTGTTTTATGGAAAAAAAAGCATTAACAATTGACATATTTTAAACTGCATTTTATCTAACTCCCACTTGTAAAGTTTTACCAGAATGGTCTTTTTTTTGTTTTTGTTGTTGTATTTTCCTCTTAGTTAACTTAGGCAAGTCTAAATGATTGGAAATGAAGTGATGTCCCTCACTGTGTGGGTTCCAGTGCCCCATTTGAGAGGAAAAGGGGGGGGGGGATATAATAGACCTGCTGTCACCTAACAAGCATGTCATAAAAGGCTACTGATTAGGAGTTTGCTGAAATCAGATGTGGTTGGGTGAAAAGGTGTGGATTTCACAGACCAGCTGTAACCTCAATCACAGAACCAGCTGTAACCTCAATCACAGAACCAGCTGTAACCTCAGTCACAGAACCAGCTGTAACCTCAATCACAGAACCAGCTGTAACCTCAATCACAGAACCAGCTGTAACTTCAATCACAGAACCAGCTGTAACCTCAGTCACAGAACCAGCTGTAACCTCAATCACAGAACCAGCTGTAACCTCAATCACAGAACCAGCTGTAACCTCAATCACAGAACCAGCTGTAACCTCAATCACAGAACCAGCTGTAACCTCAATCACAGAACCAGCTGTAACCTCAATCACAGAACCAGCTGTAACCTCAGTCACAGAACCAGCTGTAACCTCAATCACAGAACCAGCTGTAACCTCAATCACAGAACCAGCTGTAACCTCAATCACAGACCAGCTGTAACCTCAGTCACAGAACCAGCTGTAACCTCAGTCACAGAACCAGCTGTAACCTCAATCACAGAACCAGCTGTAACCTCAATCACAGAACCAGCTGTAACCTCAATCACAGAACCAGCTGTAACCTCAATCACAGAACCAGCTGTAACCTCAATCACAGAACCAGCTGTAACCTCAATCACAGAACCAGCTGTAACCTCAATCACAGAACCAGCTGTAACCTCAATCACAGACCAGCTGTAACCTCAATCACAGAACCAGCTGTAACCTCAGTCACAGAACCAGCTGTAACCTCAATCACAGAACCAGCTGTAACCTCAATCACAGAACCAGCTGTAACCTCAATCACAGAACCAGCTGTAACCTCAATCACAGAACCAGCTGTAACCTCAATCACAGAACCAGCTGTAACCTCAATCACAGAACCAGCTGTAACCTCAATCACAGAACCAGCTACCCTTTCTAGGGTGAATATTATTCTTTGTGTGGGTTCTGGGTTTTTGTGTGTTGGGGGAAAACAAGAAATGTTCCACTGCCTCCCTAACAAGCATTCATAAAAGTTGATTAATTAGGGAAATCGTGGAGGAGTGGGTGCCTGGATGCAAGGAACCAGGAGTCTTTGTACAGATAAGCAAGATCTGTAAAATAGATGTCCACGCAAAACTGAAGTACTGGAATAAGACTAAAGTTCCGTTGTGGATAAACAATTAGAACTTGTGGATAAACAACTAGAACTTTCTGCAGGAGAGGAAGATAAGGAAAAGGAAAAGAAGTGACAGTGTTCTGTTTTATTGGTTATCCAGGTAACTACACTGAACACCTATGTGGCTTCCTTGTCATGTACATTGTACATATGATATATGAAAGGAGCCAGAATAAGACTCACTCTAACCACGCACACGCTTAACAGCATGAAGAATCTTGCAAACTTGCAGTACTTGCAAATGAAATAAAGATCATAGATCTATCCAGTGGCAACTGATAGATGTGAGTCAGGGATCTATCCAGGGGCAACTGATGGATGTGGGTCAGGGATCTATCCAGGGGCAATGGATGTGAGTCAGAGATCTATCCAGGGGCAATAGATGGATGTGTCAGAGATCTATCCAGGGGCAACTGATGGATGTGAGTCAAGGACTCTTACTCCGACACTGGAGAACAAATCTGAGCTGTTGAACTGAAATGCCATGGAATTAATTTGTTTAGAATACAATGGGCCAAGAAGACAAGAAATGCAGACACATACTACATGATTTCAGCATTGAGGACAAGTGACTCATCATTTCAATCTGGACCCAAAAGCTGAGATATTTTGGCCACGTTAAATGCCAGAGTTACCTGGAGAGGATGAGGAGAGAGAGTAGTAGTACATGTCACCCCACCAGGACATCACACAAGCGATAAACACCCAATGACACAAAGTGCCACCATGCGAATGATCACCATGAAGAGGTCCCGGAAACCGCATTCAGCCATTAGACCCTATTTATGGCCAGGCTATATTGCAGCCCCTGGCAAGAGCCAGGGTGGGGCTTCAGAATAAAGAAAAATGCATCCCACAAGGGGATGACTCATGAACACATTAGGGAGAGAGGGGACAGTTCCCAGAACATGATGCAGAGGCAGACCTCTGTGGACGTGGATAGAAAACATTGAAGATGCATAAGCTATAAAAGCATAAGGATGGAGAAAGAGAGAGTTTTTGTTGTGGCTGCGATCAGAGCCATGTTCTCAAGAGGATCTGCTGATTTTTGATACATGTGACAGTTATGATTGTCTCCTCTCATTAATTACTTCCCTTGAATTTACATTTTTAAGTTATTATACAATTTAGCTCCCTTGTTTGCATTACTTTTATCTACAGCAGTCATGTTTGCTACTAAAGTACATTTAATTGTGTTTACATTATATAAATTACTACACTTTTGGCCATTAATAACTTTTTTTTTTTAACATTGCTAAATTAATTTGTTGTTTGTTTTGGTAATCTACCCCTTTTTTACAGTTTATGGTGGCTTGATTAGTTTTTCGTTCAAGCTTCTT